ACCTCACGCCCTGGGAGACTCGAGGGGCTCTTCCCCGCGAGCCCGTCCTTCTGAGGAGGCGCCTGCCATTTTATTTGCTGTCGAGACGGTCGAAGGGCCTAAAAACGAGCCCTCCAGTCTCATAAAAACTTTGAAAAATTTTTTTTTGAAGGCCCCCTTCTGCTTTAGACGCTATCGCCTGTTAGGGCTGGCCTGATTCAAAGGGCCCTGCTTTCCTTGAAGCGGGCCGTGCGGAAGCGCCCCCTCCGGCGCAAGCACGAGAGCCGGGCGGCAGCAAAGAAGGGCGCCATTTTCCTCTGTTGCCGAGTCCAACTGCCAAGTTGGAGAGTCGGGCCTGGCGCTGGTGGATGGCTTATCCAGAAGGACTGTTAAACCCATAATTCACGACTACCTACATACATACACCCAGACCCTTGTGTGGATTATTGTAAGGTGGACGTGCTGACTGGATTCACCCTTTACGCTAAGCCAAGGCCTTTTCCACCCTGCTTCCTTGAACAAACCACAATCACTAGAATGATGCATGCGGAATACGAAACTGCAAAACTAAAATTAAAGCTTGGATTCACACATTATTAAACCAAACCGAAAAACACATCGTTTAGCAGAATGAGTGAAACCAGGACAATCCTTTTGATCTTGTCTCTGGCTTCCAACATCAGCCTGGATCCTCTGGCTGTGTGGAATAGAATAAGAAGGCCTGAAGTCAACATCTGAAGGGCACCAGTTTGGGGAGAATGGATTTATTATTGGAAGTTTGTGTCTTGAAAAGCAGCTAAGCAGTATATTAAATATGAAATGGTTAGATCAATAAAATGTCTTGTGGTTGGCTAAAAGAACAAAATCAGAATAGCTGCTAAGTTATTTTAAAACACAAGGAACTTAAGGAACCACAGATGGCAGTCAGAAAAATATCTTTTTGTAAAACAACGCCTGCTACAACACATACTGGCAACTTCCTGAAACAAAGTATGTTTTGAAATCACAAATATTCTTGTTAAGAACATAAGAGTGGAGCTACTTCAGACCATGAGTCCAACTAGTACAGCTACCCCTCTCCACAGTGACCAATCACCAGAGGCCTCAGGGAAGCCAGCAACAGAGCACCAGCACAACAGTATCCTCTCTAGCAGCTGATATTGAGAAAGACACATCCATCCTCAGTGTGGGAGGTAACATAGCTATAAGGCTAGCCTTATCCTCCATCAGTTCCTGGATTCTTGCATTAGATGATTTCCAAACTCCCTTCAACCCTTATTTTCTATGATTCTATCATTGGTTCAAATTCTCTTTAAAGCCATATAAATGGTGGGCTGTTAGTATGAACCTCAGTTCCACAATGTGCTTTATAGATGCATGAAGAAGTACCTTTCATCTATCTTGAATCTCTCATCACTGACCTTTGTAGGATAATTGAATCTGCATTCTAGTAATATGCAGTTAAAAGATTCTCCCTTTTCATTTCCTGCTTATTATACTTCTGCCATGTATCTTCTCCTTATGTACAGTTTTCCTAAGGGAAAGGACTCAAAAGTTCTTATAAGAAAGATGTAGTAACCACTTAATTGTTTTGGGTTCCCTTTTCTTTGTATTTTTGACACAGGACAATTAATCTCCTGGGAGATCCTGTATCAATCCCCACTTCTGGAAAAATATCAGGCTGACAGTTTTACTCTGTGCAAGTCAGACATCTGGTCTCTTGCAACCAAATGAAATTGATGTAGAAAGCAGTACCCAGCACTGGATGGGAAAGTTATATCTACAGCTGGTTTAAGCAGCCAATGGAAACTGGGCAGATCCTGGCCCCTAGATTTGTTCCTGATTGCTCATAGCTATTTTATTTCCTTTTCACATTCAATAGGTAAAACACAGTTATTAGTTCAAACTTGCCCAGGTAAGTTCAGTGTCAAAACATTTCAGCTTTTCCCAAGTGTTTGTGTAGGGTAATGTTTTTGCTGCAAAAATCAAGCTTATATAACTCAAGCTTTCCCTGTCTATGTTGCAAATGAGATTATCTTGGGAGAAGTTGCTTGTGGTACCCTAATTTTATGAGATGAGGCAGGCTAAAACCAGAAAACGCTGATTTTTAACTATAGTGCACATGCTCTGGAACAACCTCCTTCTGGATGGTAAGTTGTCCCCCTTGGTGATGGCCTTTCAAAAGATGGTGAAGACCGTACTCTTCTTGACAGCTTTTGAGGAATGACTGTGTACCATATGGAACTAGATGCATTAGGTTTTGGGGGGGGCGGTTGTATTGTGTCTTCTGTGTTATGTAGTATGTTGTAATTGCTATTTTCTTTGATTTATAAACTGTCTTGCATATTGTTATTTTTCTGTTGATATTTTATTGTGTTTTTATGTTGTGTTAAGCCACCATGAATCTAATGGACTTGGTGGCATGCCCATTTAAATAGTAATCATCATCATCATCATCATCATCATCCAACTTGAATGTAGCTTGGATTGATTACAAGAAGGCATTCGACTCCCTGCCACATGATTGGATAATCAAGTGCCTAGAAATAACAGGAGTCAATAAAACATCAGAAGCTTTGTGCAAAGATCAGTGGCACAGTGGAAGACACAGTTGCTAGTCAGTGGTGATAGACTGGGAGAGGTTAATATCAAGAGAGGAATCTTTCAAGGAGACTGTCACCACTTCTGTTTGTCATTGCATTGATTCCTCGTGTCAACAATATTGAACAAGTCAGCCCATGGTTATCAAACATCAAAAACATCTGCCAGGCTATCCCACCTCCTTGACATGGACAATCTGAAGCTGTATGGTAAAACACCATCTGAAATAGAATCGCTACTCAACTCTGTCCGAATATACAGCCAAGATACTGCAATGGAGTTTGGACTGGACAGATGTGCCCCCCTTACCAT